TTCAGGGAGACCCTACAATAACAGAATAGCAAGATGAGCTCCAGGGAGACCTTACAATAATGAACATGCTGGACCCACTCTGGGGACACCCTACAATAAATAAGCACCAAGACTTGTTTGGGAAGGCTCTACAATCACAAACCAGGAGGATGAACTTCAGGGACACCCTACAATAAATAAATAACCAGGATCTGTTTTAGGGAGACCCTATAATAACAAAAGCTCCAGAATCTGCTTTGTAGACACACTAGAAAAACAAATCAGCAGGATGAGTTCTGGGGACACTCTACAATAAATAAACACCAGAACTCATTTGGAGAGACCCTACAATAACAAACATGCTGGACACCCTCCGGGGAGACCCTACAATAAAAGCAGCGGGATGATTTCCAGGAAGACCCTACAATCAACAAACACTGGGATGTGTTTGGGGAAACCCCACAGTGACAAATAAGGGGGACTGATTTGGTGTAGACCCCACAATAACAAACCCATGGTCTCTCTTCAGAGAGACCCTACAATAGATAACCACCAGGATTTATTTGGAGAGACCCTACAATAACAAACCAGCAGAATGATCTTCATGGAGACCCTACAATAACAAATGTGCTGGACCCACTCAGGGGAGACCCTATGATAAATAAACACAAGGAATTGTTCGGGGACAGCCTATGATAACAGAGAAACTACAATAAATAAGCTCCACAATCTGTTTTTTAGAGACCCTACAATAACAAACCAGTAAGTTCAGCTCCAGGAAGACCCTACAATAAATAAGCACCAAGACTTGGTTTGGGGAGACCCTACAATAACAAAACAGTGGGGCAATCTTCAGGAAGACTTTACAATAGCAAACGTATTGGGGAGACCCTACAATAACAGAGCAGCAGGGTGACCCCTGGGGAGACCCCACGATAAATAAGCACCAGGATCAGCTTTGGGGACACCCTACAATAACAAGTGTGCCAAACCCCTCTGGGGAGATCCTGTGATATGTAAACCCCAAGAATTGTTTGGGGAGACCCTATAGTAACAAACCAGTGGGATTTGCTCAGAGTAGACCCTACAATAACAAAGAGATCCTACGATAAATAAGCACCAGAATCTGCTTTGGGGAAACCCTACAATAACAAACAAGCAAGGTGATCTTCAGGGAGACCCTACAATAGCAAATGGATCCTACAATATAAAACCCACCAAAACCTACAATAATAGGCCCTACAATAATAACTCCTTGTGCCTTCTCTTGAGAAACCCTACAATACCAAAGCAGTAGGATGGTCTCTGTGAAGACCCTACAATAACAAATGTGCTAGATCCTCCAGGGAGACCCTATGACAAATTAGCACCGGGACTTGCCTTGGGGAGACCCTACAGTAACAAACCAGCAGGACCTTTCCAGGGAGACCCTACAATTAATAAACATTAGCATCTAGTTCTGGGAGACCCTACAATAACAAGCCAATGATATGATCTCTGGGAAGACCCTACAATAACAAACGTGACAGATCTACTTTGGGGAGACCCTACAGTAGATAAACACCATGACTCTTGTTTGGAGACACCCTACAATAATGAATCAGCAGGACCCACTTCAGGGAGACCTGATGATAACAAATGAGCTGGACACTTTCTGGGGAGACCCTACAATAAATAAACACCAGAACCTGCTTTGGGGTAAACCCTACAATAACCCCCCGCCATGCGTCGCTGCTGGGAGACCCTACAATAACAGAGTAGGAGGGTGATCTCCAGGGAGACCCTATGATAACACCCCCTTCCTTGCTCCCAAGAGACCCTACAATAACAAAGGGCCCTGATTCAGGGAGCCCCAACCACAACAGACCCCCTCGCAACCCACTCTGGGGAGACCCTACAATAACACATCAGTGGCACCCACCCTGGGGACACCCCACTTTGGCCACAGGCGCCACCAACCTGCGCCAGGGGCAGGAGGGGGCTGTGGCCCCCCAGAAGGGTCCCTGGTGACATGGTGACATCGGGGAGGGGACCCCAGGGAGGGTCCCTGGGCAAAAAATGGCACCGGGGAGGGGACAGAGGGGTCGGGGGGACATGGCACCATGGCCACCTACACAGGGACACCCTGGCAGGGGACTCTGAGGGGGATGACACACGGGGGTCCCCAGGAGCCCCCCCCGGATGTCCCCCTGCCCCAGTGTCCCCAGCAGTGACAGACACCAGAGCCTCGCAGCACCTTTATTGACACTGGCGGGGGTGGCACCGGTCCCTGGGGGGTGGAACCGTCCTGGGGGTGCCTGTGTCCCCCGGGGGGGGGGGTGGCAGGGTCAGCCCGTGCCCCGGCGCTTGCTGAGCTCGTCTTGCACGCGCTGGCACAGGGCCCTGCGCAGGGGGGGCTCCAGGGGGCTGCGGGCGCACACCCGGCGCGTCACCTCCTCCGCGCTGTCCCCCTGGGGGGGCACGGCACCGCTGGGGACACGGCACCCGGGGAGCCCCACAGCACCCACAGAGCCCCCACGGCACCCACAGCACCCCCATGGCACCCACACCCAGGGCACCCCCTGCCCCATGGCACCCCTTGCCCCAGAGCAGCACATCCTATCCCACAGAACCCCCCAGGCACCCACTGTACCTCATGGCACGCCCTTCCCCACAGAACTCTCCCCTCAACACCCACTGGGCCCCACAGAGGCACCCCATGGAATCCCCTCTCATGGCACCCCACACCACCACCCCCTGCCCCATGGAATCGCTTCCCATGGCACCCCACACCACCACCCCTGGCCCACAGTGGCACCCCACTGCCCCACGGGACCCCCTCGCTCAATGGGCACCCCCTGCCCCACAGCACCTCTCACCCACAGCACCCCAACCCCATGGCACCCCTGGCCCCACAGCAGCACCTCCGACCCCACGAGACCTCCCAGACACTCAATGGGTACCCACTGTCCCATGGGACCCTCCTACCCATAGCAGCACCTCCTGCCCCACAGAACCCCCCCCGGGGTCTCACCTGGTGCACAATCACGGCCGTGACGGTCCCGTCGTCCCCCTCATACTCGAGGCAGAAGAGCCGCGGCCCCCGGGAGGGATCGGGGGGGGCCCCGCGGGGGTCGCCGGGGGGGGCCCCCGCGCTGGCATCGCCCCCGGGACCCCCTGTGGCACCTGCACCCTCAGCGGGGGCTGTGAGACCCCCGGGGAGCCCCAGCCCAGCACCCCCCCAGTGCCCCCCCATCCACACCTGCGGTCCCCCCGACCCCCTCCGCCCTTGAGTACCCCCCCCAGGGGTGCCCCCCCATTCCCCGCCCATATCCTGGGCGCTCCCTCTTGTCCCTTAGATGCCCCCCACCCCTGTCACCAGCAAGGATGCCCCCCACCCCTGACCCCCTCCAGGTGCCCCCCACTCCCCAGCCCCCGCTGGATTCCCCCCC